GTGATTTCTCACTTTCTGTCTTTCTTTCTCTCTCTGTCTTTCTGGCTAGCACACACACCCTATAGCAAAAAACCTGTCAAAAAAAAAATTGGGGGGAAATATTTTTAAGTGTAATTTGCCTCTGTGGTTCTCCATCATTTCTTTAGACATGATGTTTACTTTTTTTACACCCTTCCTCTACCAAGTATTTTTATGATTATGTAGAAAAACTTCTTGGAGAAAGAAAGAATATATAGGAGTGAAAAAGAAGAGTAAGAGAAAGGAAGGGAAAAAAGAGGGGAGAGAAAGGAAAGAGGGAGGTAAAGAAAAACGGAAAAAAGAAAGATAGAGAAGGAAGATTATTTTTTATAAAAATTACTAGTGTCTCTTTTCTGTCATTCTAATTCTCTTATAGTCATGAAAGAAAAAAAAAGATTTAAGATCGGAACGTTTTAGAAACCATTACCCAAGCAGTAGAAGGTACATTACCCTCCTATGCTTTCTGAGGTTCCCATAAATGACACAGTATGTATCATGGATTCTCTACCCTGCAATCAAGTTTTGTAAAAATGTTTCCATTCTAAGCATCTTTGCAGTAGAGAATCTTCAGCCTGGTGAGACTCAAAGATAGTATACAGATATAAACTAGGTTGCAGATTTTAATATTGTAACTTCTAGGTGAGAATGTTCTGTCAACACATGTTAATGAAGTATCAACTTTTTATAATTTAAATGAGAATAATATGAGAAATATGGGTTTTACTGTGACAGTAAATTAAATGTGTCATCTGCTTTCTTAATTAACAGTAATTCCTTATTTGAAAGCTAGAATGTAATATCTTTCCATATTTTCTCAGAAGGTATAAACATCAAAATATATCCCTGAGAGAGAGATTGCATGCCATCTGAATATCCTTTAAAATGGAATAGAACTGGTTGAATGTACTTGAAATTGGAAGACACACATTTCTTTTTTTTAGAAGAGATTTTTGCTCCAAGGTGTGTGCACTCACTGGAAAGACAAAGAGAGAGAGAGAGAGAGAGAGAAAATCACCCCATAGGTGATGACCATACCATGCCACAATCCCTTTTTTTTTGGGGGGGGGAGGTTTGGCTATAATGCGCTCACCAGAAAGACAGAGAAACACAGACAGAAAGCGAGAAATCACCCCCAAGGGAGATGGCCACACCGCAATCCCTTCTCCTCCTTTCTCCTCTTGGGATCTTGTGCACGCACGCACACCACACGTGCCTGGCGTGAGTTTAAGCCACTGGGTCCGGGACTGGAACTGCGGTCAACTACATGAGAGTCCAGTGACATAGCCATTACGCTAACTGCTGGTCCTGGGCACACACATACACGTATGTAGCATGAGTTTCTATCTGGGATCTGAACCACCGTTGGCTGTATGGGAGTCTAGCGCTTTAACCATTGCTCCACCTGCTGGCCTCGTGAGCTACACATGCCTACATGGTGGCATGGTTTTATTACTTGGTCATTGATTTTTAGTATTATATTAATCAAGTATAAAAACATTTTACTTTCCCATTTTTCACTTGTCCATTATTGGATTTTTAGCCCTGGTGATAAGTACTGTGAGATAGAGACAATGAAAAATGCTGAATGAGGTTGGAAAAAGGAAGCAAACTATTAATACTTGCGGTTCTACCCATCTTGCTTTTCAGTGTGCTATCCCATACACAAATGGCCAGGCCTCTGCTGAGACTGCAGACACTAAGCTGAAATGACAAGTCTTCAGGGAAGCCTTCTCTGAAAACCCTGGCGGAGTTGAATTTGTCTCCTCCCTACTCTGAGGATATTTCACACAGCCCTCTTTCTTAATATTTACTATGCCATGTTGACATGATGAATCTTCTCTTTCAAAACATCTCAGTATACTCAAAGAAAATCATTAATTATGAGCTATGCTTTGTAATGCCAGCGGTTGCCTCACTCCGGCCCTAACAAATGCTGGTTGCGCCACACGTCCTTGCTAATCTCAACTAACCGTCAACAGCAAATAATACATGATCCTGTAAAGTGAAAGGGTAAAGCAAGGTATAAAGCAATTTACCCTGGGCGATTATAGCAAAGGAGCAGATCAACAAAGTCCAGGAAGGCTTTTTGAGAAAGTTAGGACTTGTTCTGTGCCTTTCCTTTAGAAGCGTAAGATAGAAACAAAATGATTCCCAGGAAATGAAGAATATCATTGAGATGGAAACGAGCAAGCTATGTGGATGGAAAAGAAAAGTGACTGATATAAAGACTGTTCCAGAGAAGAGTGGAAATAAGGTTGGGTGGTGAAATTAGTATCACCTTATAGAGTGTCATAAAAGTCCACTGATAATAAGTTGCGAAAAAATATTAAAGTTATTGATATTTTTGAGCAGTAAATATTCGCAGAACATTTACTACACAGAAGGAGTCGTACTTGGTTCTGTTGGTGATTCTGTGACACTTAGGTTGACTGATTAGTAGAGACTCAAATCAAACCAATAGTAAGATCAAAAGCAAAGCCCCATGCTGGGTCTTTCCAAAACAAACAATCCAATGGTATTTTTGGAACACCTATTGCATAGTCTTCATTCTGGTGCCAGAGAGTAACAAAACATTGTGCTGTCGGAAAAACCATGACTTTTTTTTCTGTTTCCCTATGCAAAAATGCATCATAACTGTTTTTAAGCTTTAAGGGCAATTCACATTAATTTCTAAGTCACCTCTTGGCAAAATAGATATACAGTTAAATATTTAATGAATTTACTCTACCTACCTCTATCTATCTATCTATCTATCTATCTATCTATCTATCTATCTATCTAAATATATATTTAACTAAATTTCCTAAGGCTCATATAGGTGGGAAGATATGAAGATATGAAATTACATGGGACTAATAACAATTAAATGATCAGACATTTAGATATTTTAAGGGAATTGACATAGTAAAACTAGATTTGGAGTTTAAAAAATTCTGTTTAGTTCCTAAATTTGAGTGTTATTTGATCTTAACTCATTTTTTTTCAAAATCTTTATTACTATCTTTCACAGAGGAGTGCTGGGACCATTCAGAAGACATTTATTAAAGTTTCTAGCATAGGAATAAGCAATAGATATTAGATAAATATTTAAACCTGAATCTACCTAGGAGCTAACTTATATTTTAGAATTGGGTTTTGTTTTAGTTTTAGGACGTGTGTGCTTGCTGGAGAAAGCGAGAGAAAGAGAGAAAGTGAGAAATCACTCCCCTATCACTGGAGATGGCCATGTTGGATTCCTTTCTAAATGCTCCTCTCAGAATTTTGGGCACACATACATACCCACCTGGCATGTTTTTCAGGCCACTGGGTCTGAGATAGACTATGAAGTCAGCTATGTAAGATCCACAGGCCTTCACCACCCTCCCCTGGCTGGCCCCAGAGTTTTCATTAAATATATTTTTGGCTTTAATATATAGCCAATTACCAATTTCTGAAACACTATGGTTTACTCCTTCTCCAATGAGTCAGACAGAATAGAAACCTGGGTGAAAGGAAAGTTCCTGCGGCCTATGAAGCACCACAAAAATCACCTCCTCTTTATTGTAGCTTAGCCATCCAGACCTGCATCAGGAAAGAACGTCGTGTTCCGGTCAGCTCTGCCTCTTGCACTTTAACACCGCCTTTTCTTTCTCATCAGATGATCCTCTTTTCAGCCTGCTGTATCTGTGGACTCATTGGGGGCATCCTGAATTTTCAATTCCTTCGGGCGGTTACAAAGAAGACCTCTTCCCTGTACCCTCTGCATCTTGCCTCCATGTCTCTTGCGTGCATTGGGATTGGGGGCTGCACGCTCTCTTCCTGGCTTACTTGTCGCCTAGCCAGCTATGAACAGAGGAGGATGTTCTCAGAAAGGGAGCATTCCCTGCATCACTCTCATGAAATGGCTGAGAAAGTGAGTTTTGTGCTTTTTCCTCTAACCACTGTCATGTGATGAAGACTGCAGTCTGCTCTAGGTGAATCAGCTTGCCACTTTGGTTGACAATTGAAGGAATCAGGTTTTATAAGTTTAATTCTATTAAATTTATAATAGGAATTTTATCTTTTTTTTTTTTTGCAATTTGTGGGTACACCTATTTTCACTATGATTTTGTAGCCTCTCAGTCTATTTAAAAACATAGTTCTTAAAATAGCAATGCATAAAATATTGAATACCTTATAAATATGGATTTTTATGTATTATACTAAGGAAAACACATAAACTAAATACACTCTCCACTCAATAATGCCAGTTTTAGAAACCACATGAATTCCCTTTTCTAGCTCATCCCTTGTGCTTTTAAGTAGATGCATTTGATCCTTTCTAAATGCTCCTCTCAGAATTTTGGGCACACATACATACCCACCTGGCATGTTTTTCAGGCCACTGGGTCTGAGATAGACTATGAAGTCAGCTATGTAAGATCCACAGGCCTTCACCACCCTCCCCTGGCTGGCCCCAGAGTTTTCATTAAATATATTTTTGGCTTTAATATATAGCCAATTACCAATTTCTGAAACACTATGGTTTACTCCTTCTCCAATGAGTCAGACAGAATAGAAACCTGGGTGAAAGGAAAGTTCCTGCGGCCTATGAAGCACCACAAAAATCACCTCCTCTTTATTGTAGCTTAGCCATCCAGACCTGCATCAGGAAAGAACGTCGTGTTCCGGTCAGCTCTGCCTCTTGCACTTTAACACCGCCTTTTCTTTCTCATCAGATGATCCTCTTTTCAGCCTGCTGTATCTGTGGACTCATTGGGGGCATCCTGAATTTTCAATTCCTTCGGGCGGTTACAAAGAAGACCTCTTCCCTGTACCCTCTGCATCTTGCCTCCATGTCTCTTGCGTGCATTGGGATTGGGGGCTGCACGCTCTCTTCCTGGCTTACTTGTCGCCTAGCCAGCTATGAACAGAGGAGGATGTTCTCAGAAAGGGAGCATTCCCTGCATCACTCTCATGAAATGGCTGAGAAAGTGAGTTTTGTGCTTTTTCCTCTAACCACTGTCATGTGATGAAGACTGCAGTCTGCTCTAGGTGAATCAGCTTGCCACTTTGGTTGACAATTGAAGGAATCAGGTTTTATAAGTTTAATTCTATTAAATTTATAATAGGAATTTTATCTTTTTTTTTTTTTGCAATTTGTGGGTACACCTATTTTCACTATGATTTTGTAGCCTCTCAGTCTATTTAAAAACATAGTTCTTAAAATAGCAATGCATAAAATATTGAATACCTTATAAATATGGATTTTTATGTATTATACTAAGGAAAACACATAAACTAAATACACTCTCCACTCAATAATGCCAGTTTTAGAAACCACATGAATTCCCTTTTCTAGCTCATCCCTTGTGCTTTTAAGTAGATGCATTTGATTATGTAAATTAGATCCTCAAGCATAAAGGGGCTTTTTAACAAGGCGACAAAAAGCCTTGTCTATCAGTGCAGATATTATAATCCATATAAAGCTTCATTTTATTCTCATCTGAACTTCACGCGTATTTGGATAGCTGTGCCTGCATTTTAAACAATGGTCCTTGCATAATTGTTTCGAAAAACCTTTTCTAACAGGAAGTTACATTAATTGCATAAAAGGACACATGGTATAGTGAGCTATTTTTCTATTACATTTTACGCATGTTCTTAATCCAGTTCCTGCTACTGGATCTATTCAGGAAAAGCTAAACATTGGTAAAGTAAACTCACTAAGATAATGGGCACATTATACTTTGCTTGGTGTCATAGAAATAAAATTGCGTAACAAGGGATTAGAAGCAAGTGTAGAAAGAGTTACCACATATTCCTTTATAATGCTGTTTTTAAAAGAAAAGCTAGTTTATTTTGTATGTGTTTCCAGTTTGTGTATAATCTATACCTTCAAATCAGGAGAGTATATACACTGGAATTGTCCCAAGAAAGACTTCTTTTTTTGGGGGAGGTTTTCGCTATAGGGTGCGTGCGCTCGCTAGACAGAGAGAGACATAGAAACAGAAAGCGAGAAATCACCCCCCAGGGGGGGGTGGTCACGCCGCAATCCCTTCTCCTCCATTCTCTTGGGATCTTGGGCACGCATGCACACGCGCCTGCCGTGAGTTTTAAGCCACCGGGTCCGGGATGCGAACCGCGGTCAACTACGTGGGAGTCCAGTGACATAGCCATTACGCTAACTGCTGATTCCCAGCAAGAAAGAAATTTTTAACACATTTATGAATGTCCTTTAAAAGAGAATCAGTAGTTCAAATAGCAGGGTTTGTAACGTAAAGGAATGGGATGTTTAAAAAAGATGATGATTAGATGGTGGCTCTTTGGTTCTCTATTTTTATACTAGTGTGATTTAGTTTTGTGTATATTTTTGTGCAGTATTTACTATATGATTGTTATATTTATATTAGAGATTGAGGGCTATTGAAATAACCGACTTGCCCAGCTGCCCGGTGGTGCCCCCGACACCAGAGTTACCTACAAGGTACGCTGATTTCCAGGGAGTTACCATGTTGTAATGTCGCTGCAGGAGGCACTGCCTCTTCTAGAAAGCCATGATGTCAACAGATCAGTCTGGACTGATACTGTAATGTTGTTTCCCAAAGTACCACTTTCAGAAGAGCTACTTTGAGGAGCTGACATAAATCTACATGGCAGAGTCTCGCAGCTTAAAAGTTGGTTGAGTATTTAAAATATTCAGCCTGCCCATAAGCATCCAAACACACTTCTGCTTGGATGATTTATGACTCCTTGTATTCTCTGCTACCTCGTGATTTTGACTCAATATCATGATTCACAGACCAGAGTTTTGTTTTTAATAATAGATGTGTCTGGATAAAAACAAACTGTGCATCTCCCCCAAGTAAAATTGCTTGAGAAAATAGCCAAAATATGGCACTAATATGGTAAGAATTCTATATAAAAATTTCTTCTTGTAAAATAATCTGATGTGATCCAATCCAGATTTATCTCCTATTTCAAATTGCTAAAAATAAATAATCATGGTACCTGGTTGGGTTAAACAGAACGATTGGAAATACAGAAAGTCACATCAACACTATGGCCCATTTGTAGAAAGTATGTCCATTTGCAAATATCCACATTTGGTTCTGCCTGAACTTACAGTATAATAATCTTATTGTTAAAAAAAAGACGTTTGAGCATGCCTATTTGCAAATAAACTGAAGAGACTTCTCCATTTTAAAACTAGCCTCCACAGTTATTTTCTATCGATGATTTTACTGAGTGAATTTAGTTTATAAAAGTTCTTATGTTCTGAAAAATGTTTAAAAGCTTCTTTTTTAAAAATTCAGAATAAAAGATTTTTTTTTATTATTTTAAGGCAGTTTTTGAATACAAAGTCATTTTAGGAGAATAAAGGATACCTAAGATTCTTATTTCGATAAATCCTTTAGAACATTGTCCTTTCTCTTACTAAGACGAACAAGAAAAGATGTTTGAGTGAGTTTTATTAAAGGTCATTTTGAGATGACAATTTCTGTTTATTCTGTTTATCTTGCAGCAGCAAGTTCTTGGATAAAATCAGGTTTCTTGACTCCAAATGTAATTCCAGGCCTATAACCCCTATGTATTTTCAGACTTTCGCCATGTACAACACTAGCAGATATTCCAAACATCCATGGCAGTTTCTCCAAACAGAAACTACATAGAAATTAATAGAAACAGATCATTGAGAAAAAGCTTTCTATTTGAAATATTCTTTACTGCTCTTTTGCAAGTAGGCTTATTCATGTGTGGAAAGACATTGTCAATGTAGTTCTAGATCATTCTGCCAACATATTATTTATAATATGGTACACTAACCCTCATAAATGGGAATGGGCCTCACATCTCCTCATCTTTCATTGAGGAGGGAAGGGCTTTATACTTAATAAAACATATATTGGGTCATTGGAAAAGTCATGACACATTTTTTGCACAGAAAACCAGTAAAATGCATCATGATTTTTCCAACAGTTATTGCAAAGTATCTACATTTTTCTTAAAATATTTTCTATAATTGCAAATGGAACTTTTTGTTTTAGTTGATCCTTTGTATCTGTATTTTCATTCCCTTTCTGTGTAGTTTTCTTTATTAATTCCTTAATAACTTATCATTTGAAAACATGTTAAAAGGTTTTGTGTTTTGCTCTTTACTGTATGAATAATTGCCGCATTAAAAAAAAAAAGTTTCCTACTGTGATTTTTCAGTGATCCATAGTTATACGTGAGTGATGATCCCCTTGTGGACCTTTTTCAGCTCTTAGCAAAAAGGCCACAGGTTTTCTATAGGATAGAAGTAACCCCTAGACTATATTGGCAATTTGTTAACATGCTCAGCAGAGGAGCTTGTGCAATGGAAAAACTTGGGCATTTAACCGTCTTCTCTTTTCTAGGTGAGGTCCTTCCAAAACAGAGTTGAGGAAAGAATGGGGAAACTCAGGGAAGCAGAGACAGAATAAACTCTCTTTGTAGGTAGAAGATTTTGATATGACAGGCTGTCATTCTAGCATTTTTCATGTGCTGCAAGATGCCATGAAATTTCATTTTCTCAGATGCAACAATTATGTCAATTCTTGTCCTTCCCCAAAACTCAACAAATTTTCACTGACTTGAAATTTCTGTTTTGCAAAATGATTAAGCGAATCAATGTCTTACTTTCAAAGTGAATATTAATTGACTCAAATTATTTTCCTAACAGGAAATTACGGACAACATGAGCAATGGAGGACCACAACTGATATTTAATGGAAGAGTATAATCAATGTCTTAAAGAATTGAACATTTTTTTAGGCTTTTCATGAGACAAGAAAATTCCAAAGGACTAGGAGATAAAACTAAAGTAGTTCTTGCAATTGCTTTTATGTCTCCTGAGAATCCTCTAAAATTATGCTTCTTCAGTTTTGCCTCACTTATTTCTCCAGCTATTTTTATGGGGTGAAAACTTTCCAGAAATGTTCTAGTACAGTAATTTCAACAGACTTTCCAGCTTGTTCTAAAGAAGATTTTTTGAGGAAAAAATGATCAATAAAACAAAAATATGGTTCATATTCTACACAAACATTATTTGACTAGCATGAGTATCAGATTTGTAATGGCATATTTCATATGAGTAGCTGAAAAGAGCAGATATCAAGAAATAACAGTAACATATTGATGTCTTTGTTTTGAAAGACGAGAATGGCTTCAAGAATGCCACAATTCAAAATCTCAGCAATGCCTTGTTATAAAACCATTGTAATGATTTCCAATTTGTGAATGAACTATATTCATAATTTATTTGTAAATGACAAAAACCCTAAAGCATATCAAAAAGTGATTTTTTTTTAGAGAAAGAGAGAATACTAATCTGTATGATATTTTTGCATTTTTGCACAAGAGTGAGAAGTTGTAAATGAATCTCATTTAAGGAAAATAAATATGTTTTGATCATACTGTGTGCAGATTGATCTGCATGGTCATCAATGAGCCTAAGAATAATATGTGTGTATGTGTGTATATACTGTAAATTAAACATATACAGCATATATTTGTAACATACATGAATGTACATAGGTAAAAGAAAGAAATACTGATGCTATGGGGATTTTATCAAGATTTCTATTTCAACAGAGATGGGAAGGAAATTGTTCAAGGCTTTTCTATGCCCCAAAAGTCATATTTCATTTCTTCTAAATTTGTCCTTTTTTTCCCTCTTTATTTATGTCTGTTGCGTGTGTAAATATCATTGTAGCTGATATTTATGGATATGAGTGATCTCAACAGAGTAGTATAGATTGCTTCATTATTTGGTGATTTTATTGAACTATATTTATGCAATATCAATTATTAAGATTGATTTATAAATAAAACTTCAAATCATATATGCCCGTATTTATTAAGACATAATGACTTGTGATTATTCATAATATTTATATTTTAAACACCTTGCAGCCCAACTCAATTAGGCCAAAAGTTGGATATGTACACCTAAATGAATTTATAATTAGCATTGTTATAGCTTGATTTAGGTGTTTGTTTTGTTGTCTTTTCTTTTAACTTTCACATGGAGTAATATATAGACATATTATGTATAAGAAAAATACATATCCAAAGAACCTGAGAGAGTTCTCTGTAGGAGGAACTAAAAAGTTAGGCTTACATTAATACAGCTAGAAACACTCCTTCTCTTCCATAATGAAAAGTTAAAATAGCAACCAATGATAATACATACAGACAAGAAAAGAGCATGGTCTTTTAAAAGATTTAAGGAAATATAACCTCTAGAAGCAAAGTAAGACCCTTGATATTTTAAAATATGTAACTCTCACTCTATTGTATGCTTTTATTTTTCTCCAAAGTGAATCAATTTTCCAGTCATTTTTTTTATGAGCTACTTATTGAATCATGGGTAAATTAAAATCTTTAGTATGTAACATGAAAACATACTATCATTCAGAAACATAACATGAGTTTTAATTGTGCTAACAAAATAGCACAAATAATTTCAGTGAATGAAAATCTAAAGGTCTTTTAATTTTACAAGAACCTAACTATGACTTACACTATTTAAATCAGTTCATTAAAAAAAAAAAAAAAAGCAACTCTGCTTATATCTTTTCAACAGAAATAATGGGACTAGGGTTGTTTGGTATCGTTTTTGAAATCTCCCAACTCATTTGGCTACTTCATTATCCTGTAGATACAGAAGTTCTTCATAAACACAACCTCAAATGATGAATCAGCATCCTCACTCTTTACTTGATGTATTATATAAGAAGGCATGGTCTTTGCCATTGGAAATCTAAACTATACAACGCAGATTGTTTGTGTGTCTATGGTTCTACTGAATTTACGCAAGAATGTAGTTTTGTACTGAAAGACTAATCACCAACTCTAACGTCTGGTGGCATTTCTCTGTAGATGTGTTTGTACAATACATATAGAGGTATACATCTGTAAGATGTTCCAGTGCTTTTTGAACTAATTTATGAAATCACACAGTAAAGAACAAAAGTAAGCATATGACTGCTTTGACATAAAGTTAAAGAGATGTAATCATCACCAGTATTCAACTAATCCACAGTGTATGTTTAACCAAGGACAGATGTATGTTTAAATGTAATTATGTCAACCCAGTGTTATCAAGGCTGACTTTAGAGTGATGTACTTGAAATATGTGGTGATTCTTTTTGAGATACATGAAGGAAATTAGGAATATAGTTACGTGCTTGAAAATTTAATTTTAACAATTAACTACAAACATTGAACTACAAACTGAAAATGTTTAAGTGACTACCTTCAAGTTGTAGTATGAGCCTAACCTGGGGGAAAGGTAATAGGAAACTGAATTAGAAAAATCATGTGAAATTGGTGTGGTGGGGTGTTCTTTAGAGACTAGCTACAAAGAAATAGTTACTGGAGGCAGAAAAGAATAAAAGTGGACTCTCTTTGGAAATTTTAAAACGTATATATGTATATTGTATGTCTGTGTGTGTGTCAATGCACACAATGATTTAACAGTGAAACACGGAATGATGATTCCACTGATATATCTCTGTAATAAAATGGTGTGCTTTGAAACTAAGTTTGCTGTCAGCTTGGTTTAATTATAATGCAAAAGTAGTTTCCCCAATAAGTAGATGAATAAACGTGCGGTTCTGAGATTGGCAGGGGATAGGCTGCTATGAGTGAGGAGGAAGAGACAGTCACAGCTGAAGGATATTAAATGTATTGCTTGAGACAGAATGACTTGGAAGTGTTCAAGTGTAGAGAGATTGGTGGAAGATGCAGGAAACATTTATCATAAAAGAAAGTGAAGTCACTGAGGGTGGGAGGCAAGAGAATACGAATCACAGGAGACAGAAATAACTGTCAGTAGTACTGAGATTGCAGGAGATGTCACAAATGAAAGTCCAATAGTTCGACACGCCAATGGCCTCCTTGAGTTTGTCAAAGTGGTTGCTATGGGCATTTGGGGTGAATAATAACTCACTTTGAAGATTGTCCTATGTATGTTAGGTAATTTAGCATCTCTTGTTCCCGTGCACTAAACGCTAGGAGAATACATCAGAATACACCAGTTATCCTAACAAATGAAAATGTTGTAACAAATTTCCACCTGTTTCTTTCATAGCAAGTATTACCTAGTTTAGAAACACCAAATTTAAAAACACACAAACAAACAAAAACAAACATGAGTATGATCGGAGCTGCTAATTGTAAAGCTACTCATGTGGAGACCTGTATTGTTCAAAGTTACTAAACACACTGTTCTAATGCATACCTTCATTATCTAATATGGTAGTTGTTAGCCACAGTGACTAAATTTAAATATAAATTAATTAAAACCAAGTCAAATGTTTGTTTTTTCTGTCAAAATAGCCACATTCCAAGTGCTGAATAGCCACATATGGACAATAGTTATAGACTATTTCCAGTGTCTCAGAAAGTCATATTGGACAGTGCTGGTCAAAAGCAGATTGAAATTGCCTACTCTTCTTCAGTCCTTAACAAGTTTTGCAGTCACCAATTAATATTAAAATAGAAGACATGAGAAGAATTGGCAAATACTCCATAAAATTTGAAAGTTAAAGCCCAATTAAAAATCATGGACTAAACAACATTCGTGCAAACTAGCAAAAGTAGTAGGTCAGCCTAAAATAAAACTGAGAAATTATTTTAGATATTTCACTTCAGAAAAAAAAAATCTGCCTTCAAAAGAATTCCATTAAATCCCTAAATATTACATGTTTGACAGACAATATGTGATGTTGTTTATCTCTTACTTTTTGCAAAACATTTATTCTACCTATTGCCATGTGTCAAAGAATAATCCTTAATTTTATTTCTTGTCTGGGGAAGGTGGAAATAACAATGTGCTACTCTCCACTTTATTCTTTGACTCAGTTCAAGATGCCACGTTGAAAAACCTTACATCCAAAACTACATTTTCAAAGATTATTTAGCAAACGTGTTTCAGAAACTTAGAGGGAGCATCTTAAGTACTGTTTGGCTAGAATATTGTTTCTAAATAAAGTTCCAGAACTTGGCATCCCCTACTCTTTTCTTCAAGTCATTTTTTTTTCTGGAAACATATATAATATTTCTTACTGAAAGTATATGACAGCCAAGAAATTCAATTATTCCAAATCCATAAATCACAGGTTGTCAGTTACTCATAGCAGCAGAAGAAACTAATTCAGAAATTGCTGGCAATGTGGATGCCTAGTAAAATTACACAGAGGGATTTTTTTTTCTACTCCTTTTGCCAGGAAAACTGAATACTGAATGCAAGAATCTTTTACTAGGAATGCATTTTCTAAGAAATGTACAAGAGAACTTCAGAAAGTTTTTGGAAAATAGTGGATTTAAAGTTTGAGTTTATTTTAGCACACACACAAAATTGAAATCCATGTTTAGTTTTTCCCTAATACACATTTTTCCATAAACTTTTGTAACGCCCCTGTCATGTATATACAGTTAGGTCTATGAAACACACCACAACTCTATCCCACAGGAGCCACTTTTCTTTATTTGATCTGCTTCTGATTTCAGATCCAGATTTTTGGTTCTGTGGTACTGCTTTGATTTCCATTTCTGGTCCCTGTACTGGAAGGGGAGAGGTTTCATTTCTCCAGTTGTCAAGCTTTGATTTCACTTTGAGCCCAAGGATTGTTCAACAGAACTCCAAACTCCTGAATCAATGAAAACCAACCTTGGTTACTGAGCCAGCAGCAGCTAATGATAGAGCAGCTTCAATGATGTTAGTCACC